GCAAAAGAAAAATTTAAACTGGCACAACAGAAAGCCGCATCAATCCACAGGGCGGGCCATTCCCAAATATCCTCTCTCGTCGTCTACGCATGGAAGGAAGTGCGACCACTGTGAAGGCGGTTTCCGCTAACTGAACTCCTCCTCTGTGTGTTCCAAAAAAAGCCTGTGTCGCCCCTTTCCCGCTCCCACAACAACAGGTGGGTGAAATATAATCTTGTAGTGCGATATCATGTAGCCAAAGGAGAACGTAATCATCAGCATACCAAAACAAGTAAAAACAATTGCCAGGATTAACCCAAGACGCTGCGAGGGCAAATCTATGGATGCACAACGCCCAAAACTGCTGCAATAACCACAACGCCGGCCATAAAAACCACCTGGCAGCCGGTAGCAACAAGCGAGGTGAAGAGCAAAGCGTTTGGGGGAGCGCGAAACACATCTCCACGCACAAGCTTCCACCCGCTTTCCTCCGAATTCTCTTCAGCCAAGTCGGCATCCGCGTAGCTCAGAAGGTCCTTACGAACAGTCCGCGTCAGAATAACCATGACAATTATTCCCAAAAAACTGAGTAACGCAAGGGAATTCATAATCGCCATCAAGTGACCCCTCTTTGATGCCGGATGCCCAGCACGGGCGTACACATCCCATCGTGTCGCCACAAACTCAATTTTCTCCGTGTCCAATTCCCAAGACACAGAATAAAAGTACTTCACATCCATTGATTCAGGAGTCGCAGGTTGGATCGACCCACCTTCCGTAGTTTCCGGATCCGGACAGCCAGTGAGTACATTCACTGAGCTTGGGACGACGTAAAACCCAGTAATTGAGAATCCGCCTTGCTCCGCATTTGTGTACGTCACTTTAAAATGCAGGTAATTGTGTATGGTCGTCTTTGTTGATTCATCGCTTGCCGCAGGCACGCCAAGTTGGTAACCAACCCGGAGATGTTGTTCGGTTGAGGCATTCAAGGGCCTTTCCAGCAGCGGGACACCATCAAGAAACATGTGGGCGCAATATTGCTGTTCAATGAGTTTTTGGAGTCGCTTCATTTCAGACTCAGAATACGCCACGAAGCACACCTCTCGGCAGGTAATGTTCTCCCCAACCTTCACGGAATACATAGAGGGCAAGATGCGGTTTCCAAGAAGGATCTCGCCAAGATTCTCGTGGATTCGCTCGTCCCGCATCCGCCGTTCATCGGGCTGACAGGTTTTCACGGAGTAGAAATTGTACGGAAGCAGGCCCCTCTTGGAAGTCAGTGAGTTCACGGTGATAGGAATCTCGGTCCCGGCCTGGTATATGGTGGGGGAGGAGAGATGGTCCAAGAGGGCACATGATACACCGGGCGCTGCAAAAAGCAGCAGCAATGACAGCAAGGCAAAATGACCCCAGCGAGCCATCAATCTGTGTTTCTTCCTTCCCTCCTTTTTGCCCCCTCTTCCTTCCTTTCCGTGGTTTGTTTCTTAGTTCTCTTTTCCTACTATTTTTGCCTTTCCGTAAGCGTGTGTTTTTATCCCTCCACTCCACTGAGCCCCGTGGAAGAACAGCAGGGGAGGTGGGGAGGAAGCAACGACAGAAGAAGGAAAAGAAGAAGGCGATGATTTCAACGGCGTCAAAAAAAAAAAAATCACGACAAGAAGACCAATCAAGTCGCCGACACAGCCCGCCATTTCTCGGGGCCACACCCCAGCAACCTCAATAAGGAAGCAAGGTTTAAAAAGTGAAAAACAAAAATAAAAAACAACAGCCTCAGCGACAGATGGTTTTCAGTCAGTACGGGATCATGGCCTCGTACTCGGCAGCACGGCGTGCCAGCAACTCCACTCTCTTCGCGCGAACGATACCGCCGTTGCGGGAGCTCCTCTTCAATGGAGGAAGAGGCTTGCCGGCCTTCTTCGCCGCCTGGAAGGCCAAGAAATCCTTCTGCTTCTGCTTGAAGGCCTCCTGGCAGCGCGATTTGCGCACGTGTTCGAAGCGCACGCAGATGCGCTTGCGGACTGTGCGGTTGCGAACCGGCTTGTTGACAATCACACCAACACCACGAGGAGTAACGTTCCAAACAATACCCGTGCGGCCGTGGTAGTACTTGTGTGGCATACCAGCGCGCACGGCGGAGTCCGCCACAACATCAACGTAGTCCCCGACCTTGAAGTTCGTCAGGATGGTGCTCACAGATGGAACGCCGTGCTTGCGGAACTTTTTCGCAAAAAGGTGGCGGGTGCCACACTTGTATCCGTGGGAATGAACCATCTTCGGCTATACTTCCAAAAAAGCAGTGAGATGGGAACAGAAATCAAGAGAGTGGCCCGTAACGTATATGGATGTGCATAAATAGGACACGCTGGCAAACTCATTCCTTGTGGAGCGCGGCGCGCAAACAATAGGACCAGCCACGATCCCCACGGAGTGCCACAACCACTGTGCCCCGTCGTCTTCTCTCAGTTACACGCCGAAATTAATGGTCATCGGCAAATCATCAACCAATACAAATGATTTAAAGACAAGTGGTCCACGAATTCTTAACGGCATTTAATTACAAACAACAAATCCTTCCCATCAATAATTTCTTACCTCTTTCCTTCTCCACAGTTTCCATTAATTCCACGTTTCACAAAGTACGTCCACACACAAAGAAAGCGTTTTTCATCGGACAAGAAACAAAAATAAAAAAGTCATGCGCCTCATTCCGGCCCTGTCTCCGTATTCTCACAAGGCAAAAGTGAGGCACGAGGTTATCACAGTTTGTCTCGGTGTGTCCAACACCGAAACCCCAGTGGAATCAGTCAATTGCTCGTGTTAAAAAGAACAAAAAGCCTTTTTTATTATAATTTGAAAAGACAGGAAAAAGGCAATGCATTCACCGCCTTTTCAACGCGGCATTAATAAAAACAAAAAGCTTTCATAGGTAAAAATAAAATAGAATAATCTTCCGGGCAGCTGGCCGGATCCTGAAATTATCTATGGAAACCAAACAAGTTAGGAAAAAAGGTTCTTTATTTAATTGCTTCAATGTTTTATTCTCATTCAATATATATAGAATTCTGTGGACCATTAGCATGGTCCTTTGTCCTCAGTTAGGATTTGAAATATTATTACTTACGAAGTGGCAGACTTTGGGGTCCTCCAACCACAAGACCCCGCCGCGTGGTGGGAATCAAGGGGGTGGGTGGGATGGCAAAATAAAATTTAAAATATTATCCGGCCTCTATCGGTTCCCGCCCCTACAAAGTCGCGTTCTTCCCAAAAGATTCATACGGTAGAAAGTATCATAAAGAATGCATTCATTTATCAGGATATATACATACATTAATTAAGTTAGCCAGCTCTCCCGCGATCATTCTTTTCACAAGCTCCTAAAAATGGCAAAAATCGGCCTCGTTATCATGGCCGTAATCCGCTCGTAAATTCCTTCCATACGCTTAAAAGGTGGATAACCGAGAAAAGACGCACTTACAATGGCGCCGTCCCAAGTCTAACTTTTGCCCTTCCATTTTTTGTGTCCCGATTGGTCGTGGTAAGACCCTTCCCCGGAATTCGACTCCCCCTGCGCCCCCGTAGTCCCCACTTCGTTCGTAGCAAAAACCGACATCGGGAGAGCATCGTGGAACTGCGTGCGCCCCACGTCTTCCATGTAGTGCAGCTGTCTCCGACGATAAGCAACCAGTATAACAATGCCCAAAATCAGAAGTGCCAAAACAATCACAACAATGAGAATGGTGATAAATAATTTCCTTGACGGCTCCTTTTCAATTGCCTCCACACAGGCTCTGATGTCACCCCACGCATCGGACACCATGCTGCAGGCAATTACCTTCCGGCACCACGAATTACACTTCCCACCGGGGAACAATTTATCACTTCCCACGCCGCCACCACACAACCTCACATATTTTGCCCACAATTTGTCATCGGTAACGAGCCTCATTGCAGATGCCCGAAGCGACGCGGTATCGGTCAAATCACCAAATAGGTCTTCCACAAGAACCCCATTAGTCCAATCGTAATCGAAATAGCGCTGAGTGAGGCTTTTCAAGGAGAGGCTTTTGTTGTCCAGTTGTGCAATGAAATAAGAAGGGGCATTCCCATAAAGGGGTGATATTGCCGGAACAATAAAAAACGGCACACCCCCTGAAAGTGCCTGATAGTAAAATAGATGTGTATGCCCATACAGTTGAACCGTCACTGTATCTGAGTACTCCCTCATCAACTGGTTAAAGCGCTTCTGATACAATGGCTTCCAGTACATATCCTCTGCGACGGAGGTAAAATTCCCACCTTCAAGCACTTTCCATATGTTCGACATTGGGGGAATGTGGCTCATGATAATGACCTTTGAATTTGCTTTCCGTGCATTCTCCAGCTCAGTGGTCAAAAATTTAAACTGACTGCACGGATCTTCTTCGCCATCTGGAATAGCGGGCACAATGGTGTAGCACCAAAGAAGAGTATGAAGCACGATGACTCGCAATTTTGGAGAAACAACACGCAAATAATATCCGCATTGCTGGAACTGTTGGGCTTCGTCTGCCATGAGCACGCCATTTTTCTGCATGACGGAAGCCTCTTCCAAAATAACCCGGGATGGAATTCTTGTTACATCGAAGTAGTAATCCGGCACCACGTCATTGTTCCCCAGGGCAACCAACACCGACGGTCTCCCACTGGGGGTCTTGTTCGGCGAAACTGCAGCAAGTCTTTCAATGACGAACCCAAATGTAGCAGTAACAGTAGTTTTTAGGGAAGGAAAATCGTGCCTTTGCAGGTCACCCGTCACAAATGTGCAGGCCGATTTACGTGTTGCCATATCTGAGGCCCAATATTTGACAAAGTCAGCCGAAGATTCGCATCCTCGCCTAACAAGGGGCAGGCCTGCGGACCGACAGGCCGTACCAAATGCGTCAGGCCCCCCATAGAAAGGATCGTAGTGTATATCCGATGCAAAAGTAACTTGCATGCCTCTGCAGCATCCGGGAAACAGGAAAAACGATAGTAAAAACAAAAGTAAAGACAACTGTGCCATTTTCGCTTGCCTTCCTTTGACTCCTTATCAATTCAGCACAGAGAGAAAAAAGGCAACAGTCGTTTCGCAGGCGTCTGCCTCTGTTGCCCCGGCCTAGTCAAGTGGCCTCCTAAGACCCCGCCCGCACTCAGGTTTATTCCACACCCACCGCGTGGAGGTGCACTCAGACAGGGGGGCGCTCAATGCAAAGCTGCCCCTCGCAAACACTCCCTTATTTGTTTCTCCTCCATTTTTTCACCATTTTCACTCGTTTTTACTTGGTGGACAATGGCTGCACCCACAGTCACTCATTTCCCTCTCGGGGGCGGGTGAGATCCCACATAAACACACATGCACCAAATAGAGAACTGAGAAAACAAACGCAAAAAAAAAAAGAAAAGCGCATCCTTTTGCTCACAAGAGACACCCACTTCTGACCGACGTTTATCAAAAACGACGCGGCGCACGCACGCGAGAAGCGGCGCGGTCGGTGGGGTGGAATAAAAAAAAATTGCGCGTGTGGCAAATACAAAAAGATGAAATCGACGGCCATCGAGCAAAAAGGGTGAGTGACGGCAAAAAAAAAAAAAAAAAAATTAAACTGGCACAACAGAAAGCCGCATCAATCCACAGGGCGGGCCATTCCCAAATATCCTCTCTCGTCGTCTACGCATGGAAGGAAGTGCGACCACTGTGAAGGCGGTTTCCGCTAACTGAACTCCTCCTCTGTGTGTTCCAAAAAAAGCCTGTGTCGCCCCTTTCCCGCTCCCACAACAACAGGTGGGTGAAATATAATCTTGTAGTGCGATATCATGTAGCCAAAGGAGAACGTAATCATCAGCATACCAAAACCAA